AGTGGTAGAGCACATGCCCAGTACAGGTGAGGTACTGGGCTCAATTCTCAGCACCACATAAACATAAGTAAAAAAATAAAAGTACTGTGTCCATCTACAACTTAAAATAATAATATAATAAAAAAGTAGTGAAATATATTTGTTCAACCACATTTTTAAAGTGTGGCAAAATACACAAAGCCTATTGTTTTAACCATATTTAAGCACAGAATTCAATGGCATTAAACACATTCACACTGTTGTGCAACCATCACCACCATTCAGCTCCATAACTTCTTCATTTCTCCTAACTGAAACTCTGTACCCATTACACACTAACTCCTTCTTCTGCCTCTAACCCCTGGCAATCACCGCTCTACTCTGTCTCTAGAATAATATGATACATTATTGCCTCATATAAGTAGAAACATATATTTGTTCTTTCAGAACTGGTTTATTTCACTTAGTATAATGTCCTCAAGGTTCATCTATGAAGTCAAATATGTCAGAGTTCCTTCCTTTACACTGTGTATACGTATGTGTGTGTGTGTGTGTGTGTGTGTGTGTGTGTGTATACACACCACATTTTGTTTATTCATTCATCTGGTGATGGACACATGAATTGTTTCTAACTTTTGGTATTGTGAATAATGCTTTATGAACATGGATATAAAAATATCTTTTGAGACCTTGCTTTTATTTCTTTTGGGTATATTCCCAGAAGTGGAATTGCTGGTCATAATGGTAATTCTATGCTTCTTTTTTTTTTAGGAATTGCTATTTAATTTTTCACAATGGCTGTACTATCCCACCAACAATGCACAAGAGTATTAATTTCTCCACAATCTCACCAAGATTTATTTTCTATTATTATTATTATTTTTTTTAGTTGTAACCATCCAAAAGGATGTGAATCGGTGTTTCATTGTGGTTTTGATTTGTATTTTTCTAAGCATCTTTCATATGTGTGTTGGCCATTTGTATATCTTTCCTGGAGAATCAACCATCTTTTAATGAACATCTACTTTATCCCAGGCAGTGTGTTAACATTCAGACATAAAAGAATGAACAAAACCATTAAGTTATTACTTCAAAAGAACTTGGCATATTACATGTTCATATTGTGAGTATTGTACTTTATGGATGCCATCTTTATATGACAGTAATAAACAGGCAAAGAACCTTTGTCACTGAGCCACAATGACTTCGTTAGGAATCTATTTAATATAGATTTTAATGACACAACATTAATCATATCTTCAAGTTACAAATTTAGGAGGTAGCCTGACATAGTGCTTAACAACCTAATCTTTGGAGACTGCTTGGGTTTAAATCCCTGAGCTGTCTCTTATTTGCTTGAAAGTTCAGGTAAGCGACTACACCTCTCTGTGCTTCAATTTTCACACCTATAAGTGAAAATAATAATTGTGAGAATTAAATAAGCTAATATATGAAAAGCACATGTGCCAAGCATACAGCAAGTGCTCAATACATATAAGCAATTTTTAAATTACTAACAACACTTCTCTATCCAGTTATCAAGTGATATCCCCATTATAACTGGCATTTGAGCATTTCTTGTTGGCAGTTTTAGAAAAGTTTAAGGTCTAATTATTCTGAAACACCAAATGATATCTTGAGGCTTCTGAAATAATTTTGTATAACACACTCGTATTAACTGGCATTCTATACATTAGAATTATTGAAGTAAAAATAGAAAATATAGAGCCAGATCTGTAGTTAAGTCATTCTTTTAAACTCAGTGTTGCTAATTTAGTTTCAGAAAAATAATATTATATGTCATATCAGATCTGTGTTTTTGTTTGTTTTGGTACCAGTGATTGAACCCAAGGTCACTTAACCACTGAGCTATATCCCCAGCCCTTTTTGTTTTTGAGACAGTGTCTCATTTGCTTACAGCTTTGCTAAGTTGCTGAGGCTGACTTCAAACCCACAATTCTCCTGCCTCAGCCTCTCAAGCCACTGAAATTATAGGCATGTGCCACCACACCTGGCTTAAAACTATGTTTTTCAGTCAGGGACAATTTTCACACCTATAAGTGAAGATAATAATTGTGAGAATTAAATAAGCTAATATATGAAAAGCACATGTGCCAAGCATACAGCAAATGGGACATTTGGCAATGTCTGGAGACATTTTTGGTTGTCACAATTGGGGGGATGCTACTGGCATCTAGTGTGAGTAAGCTATAGATACTAATTAACATCCTAGAGTACACAGGACAACCCCTACAATAAAGAATTATCCAGTCCAAAAATGTCAATAATGCAGGTTGAGAAACTTTGCATTAGAATAGTGTTAATTTGAATTTCTTAATTTTGTAGTTTTGATTAATTTAATTTGTAAAACTACTTGTTTTTATGGTTGTCAAAGAGCGATATGCTTGAGTTTAGATCTAGTTTCATGTGGACATACATTCGATATTACAATAAAAATGTTTCATAAGCCCTAGGCATTTGTGACAGTTTTTCCTTTTAACCAAATGTGAAAAACACTGCTCTTTTGAAAGTAAGCACTATTTGCTGCTTTTGTCTTCTTTCATAAATACCAGCACCTGCTGTGTGGCAGAAATTGTATTCTGAGTACATGAATGAATACCATGTGGTCTTTGCCACCAAGGGCTATCTATGCAGGAAAAAAGGCTATACACAGGTACTAGCATTAAATAATAATGAACTGTCATTAGTCTCAGAAAGGAAATAAATAAATTGCTGTGATAGAAAATAATGGTATAAGTGAAGGATATTTATGTAAAAATATTTTTTTAGTTGTAGATGGACAGAATACCTTCATTTATTTATTTACTTTTATGTGGTGCTGAGGATTGAACCCAGTGCCTCACACATGCTAGGCAAGTCCTCTCCCACTGAGCTACAGCCCCAGCCCCAAGGATGTGTAATTTAAAAACATGGTCAGAGAAAGTTTTTCTGATGAAGAGACTTCTCTCTTAGGAAAATATCTGCTTGAGATATTTAAATAAGAAAGGAAGGAAAGGAGATAATGATTTAGTTGTGGCGCTCTTCTCTGCCTCCCCAGCCCTTTTTCTGTAATTTATTATCTCTTTTTTTAGTTAAAATATTCAAGTACCTGCAAATACTTTTGTAACATTGTATTCCTATATGGCATTGTGAGTTCTACAGGGGAAAAATGAAATACCAACCCAGTTTTCAAAGATCTACACACAAAAATTAACGATTCAAAAAATTCACCTAAACTCCCAAACCCCAAAATCAAATTCACAAAGAAAAGGAGAAATCTATTTGACTTATAGCTTTTAGTGACCAAGAATGTAATTTGCCCATCCACCTTATCTACATCAGACAGACCTATATCCGTAACTTACTTTTGCATAAAGCTTTCTGAGCTTCATATTTGCTCATTTGTAAACTTCGGCTAAAAATACTTAGATTACCGAGTTGAAAGAATTAGGTAATATTCCTAGAAGCAGAATTAGACGAGTAGTTCAGATACTGGAGCAAGAGATCTGGGTTCAAATTTAAGCTCTGCTAATTACTAGCCATGACCATGGGAGTTAACATTCTGTAAAAGGAACATAGGCGGCTGTGAGGATTAAATGTGATAAAGCCCATGCACAATATTTACCCCACAGCCCTTCCTCCTCTAACATTTCTGACTACAAGAAGGACTCCTCCCAAATTCTTTACCTAGCGCAGTAAGGAATAATGGTCCCCTACCAAGTTTTTCACCTAGTGGGAAAGGAGTAATAAGGGAAACACTGCATACTCTAGAATTAATCTTTTCATTCAGCAAAATTTGCTGAGCGCTTATGTGTGCTGAAAGCTGTGAATTTGGAACAGCCTTTAAAACTCAGTTTGAAACAGAATGCAAGAGTGAAAATATAAAAGTACACTTTTATATCTAGTTCTCCAGTAATTCTCGCTTACACTCCTCGACCTTAGTAAGGCCCCCTCAAAGGAGGGACCATTCAGGATCGGCCCTCGGTTTCTCATCCTAGGCCCGGCGCCCTCAAGGCGTTTACATCCACAGCGGGCCCCTCGAACTGCGCTCCAGTGACCTGGCCAGGAAAACGCTGCCCAGTGCTGCAAGCCCTGCCCTTCAGACTCCGCCTACAGGCACTGGCTCAGGTGCACGGATTCTACATTAGCTGGTTCCCGCGCTGGGAGCCCAACACAGTACCTGCAAGCCACTCCTCTTGTTCCAGGTGAATATGGATCCTGGGTACCCGCTCAGAGCCAGAAGCAGTTCGTGGATCATTCCCACGGCGGAATCCTTAGATACGTCGCTTCCTCCTTCAGCGCTCTTCCAGGCGAACACGCTAAGGGTGCCTCCTCTTCGACACACGCACTGGCCTCTGGCTTAGGCGGTTTACCCTGAACCCGCCGTGCCAACTGCAGCCAGAGGAGCTGACGGGAAGCCGGGAAGGAACCAGCGCGCCACGTCCCGGAAGTGTACCGAGCTCGGCTGGGCGCACTGCTAGCTCCAGTTCTGGAGTTTGGGTAGCTGCCTTTGCGCATGCGCCCTCGGTGCCCCGAGTTGCCGGCTCGGACTTCCGGCCTGGGAGTTGGACTGAGCCACTGTGGAACCCGGGCTGGGCTCTTCCCGGAGTGGGTGAGGCTGGCTTAGGGGCAGAGATGCAAGTGGGTTTGGGGACAGCTCTAGCGGGAGACGCTGCCAGGGTGGGGCCAGAGGGTGCCCTCAGGGTGGCTTAGCCCGGTCAGAAGCCTCTGGAGGGATTGCACTACATCTCTGAGAGTGATCCGGCCAGAAGGGAGCCAAGACAAAGAGTCCGGAACGCCGCACCCTCAGCTTATTGAGCAGGGCTCGGCGCCTTCGAATCCGTAGTTCTCCCTGGCCAGCGCCCAAGCTCGTTCTCAGGAGACTTATTACTACTGCCCCTGGGACTTCGTCTCTCCACCAATTCAGTGTGACTCTCTCCAAGTTCGCCAGTCCTTGCTTCCGTACTCAAAACCAACTTTAAAACGCGAGGTTTCACGTCAGTAACTCCCTTGCTGAGCGGTTCTTTTACTGTGAAGGAAAACAAAGTCTTGATAGTCAATACTTGATTTTTGTGTGGACTGGAAATCAATAGTTTGTAGCCCGAGGGGACGGGGTGGACGCAGAGGTCCTCGAGAAGGACTGGAGGTACTAGGGGAGATCACCCGTGACCCCTGGAGAGAGGCTTTTTGTTGCCTTCCACAGGATGGTTTTTGGATCCTCTTGAGAGACTCATCTTCATTTAATTCTTCAAGGACATGGGAAGATAGGTGTAAACCCTGGAACTCTGACTCTTAATTGAAGGGAAGCTGCTTTCTGCTATGAATGATGGCCAAACCCACTTTGAGAGAGAATGGCCCTAACTCTGAAACCTTAAGACAACGCTTCAGGAAATTTCATTACCATGAGGTCACTGGACCTCGGGAGGCTTTCAGCCAACTCTGGGAACTTTGTTGTCGGTGGCTGAGGCCAGAAGTGCGTACCAAGGAACAGATTGTAGAATTGTTGGTACTAGAGCAGTTCCTGTCTGTCTTACCTGGGGAGATCCAGAATTTGGTACAGGAACAATGTCCAGAAAATGGAGAGGAGGCAGTGACACTGGTGGAAGATTTAGAAAGAGAGCCTGGAAGACATGGACCTTCGGTGAGAAGGGAAGGGGAAATTCAGAAGTGTGAGACAGGGAAGGGGCAAGGGTAGAGGGCCAATTTAAAGTACAGTCAGGCACAAGTCTCCCTTATACTTCTGGTCTGCAACAGGTAATTTTTCAGATGGTGCTCACATGAAGATTCTACCTGTGTGTAACCTCACCTTTCTTGTCACAATGAATTTTTCTTCATTTCATACTTTCTTACTTGATGGGGAAGAAAAAGGATTCCCCGCCCCCCATCCTGTTGCTTACTGCTTTGGTCTTTTCCTTCTGGTGTTCCAGCTGCTTTAAGCTAATGATAATGGAATAAGGGCTTTGCTGTAACCTCCCAATACCCCTACAACTCTAGCCTTTACCTAGAAGGATGAACTCTGAACTCTGGGTGAATTAAATAATCTCCTCTGGGAATGCCTCTCACTGTGATCTTGCAGTGACAATTAATGGGGGTTGTTTCTAGGTCACAGTCTCTGTGAAGGAGCAGGAAGTGCACTTGGAGAAGATGACACCCCTGAAATCATCACAAGAGTTCTTAAGTGTTCAGCAGGAGTCAATGGAACTCCAGCCCAGGAATGTACCCAAGAAAGAGAGGGCAAGAAGTCCAGACCTGGGACCACAAGAACAGATGAACCCAAAGAAGAAGCTCAGACCTTTTCAAAGGAGTGGTGAGGAGTAGTAGATTCATATGGGAAGTTAGAATGCCATTCTAAGTTGGGAGGTAGGGTTGGGGATAGTGAGTGGGAAAGGGATTTCAGTGGAAATCATAGAATGTGTGGTTATTGGGTCTCCCTGAAGACATGCAGTATATTGTAGACAACCCGCCAGTATATTGTCTTCTTATATGTCCTCTTTTGATAAGTCTGTTAAGAGAATGACTTCCTAGTTTTTATCAGGACTTGGAATTATTCTGTTAGTAATGTTAATAGTAATTCATATTTTCTAGATAAAAATGCTTTTCTATACAGGTGAGCACATCTTTTAGTTGTTTTACTTCTCCAAATTAAACCACACTTGTGTTTTTAAGCTTTCTCCCATAATCTCTATTCTCTAGACCTTAGCTTTTATTATTCTCTCATTTGGAACTTTTAAGTTCTCCAAATATGATAATTGTGGAGAACAAAATTATGTGTATATTCCAGTGAGGGTGTGTTAGGTAGAGGCTGAGTTAAGAATTTTACTTCAGAATTTTGCAATATCTTCTTTCAGTATAGCCCAACTCATAATTATGGGAGGATTTTTGTTCACCTAGTAACTTTCATATCTTTTCTTCAGTGCTTTTGTACCTAGTCTCTTATTCTTGGTCTTGATTGGTAGGACTTGTTTTTCTTCTTTGTACTCTAGTGAACTCCATTTTGTTTGTTTTTTTTCCCCTTTGATGATTTCATTTAAAACTTGTTGAAGTTCCTTTGAATTCTGATCTTATCTTTCTTGAATTTTTATATTCAAGAAAGTTGAAAGTTTGATATTCGTTTCGGTTTAGTCTTTCAGGTGAAATCCTCTAACCTCACACACAGACTTGCAGAGTTTATCAGTTCCTAAACACCTACAATGTGCTCAACAATTTGCAGGGTACTCTACAATAAGAAAAGGTACTTATCCTCAAAGAGCTTACAATATGATTGCAAACTATAAATATGTGCTAAACAGAACTGTATTGAAACAATGCTTAACAACAACGTAACAGTGTAAGTACTGTGGGGGTTTGAAAGGGTGGAGATGAGGTAGGGCTGTAGTGAAGGCCTCTTGAGGGCATTGGCAAGTATAGCTTCTTGAAGGATGGGTTGAGTTTGGGTAGGAGAAAGGAAGTTAAAGAAAAGTACCGAGTGGTGAATAACAGTGTAGTTGTTCTGGGAAGGAAAAAATAAACAGAAATGGACAGTGCAAGGCACTAAGGTTAAGGGTTAAGACTCAGCAGAATAGTGTGTTAACTAAGGAAGCAAAAGCCTGAAGTTCGGGGCTGGGGTTGTGGCTCAATGGTAGAGCACTTACTTGGCATGTGTGAGGCCCTGGGTTCAATCCTCAGCACCACATATAAATAAATAAACAAAAGATCCCTTTACAACTAAAAAATATTAAAAAAAAAAAAAAGAGCCTGAAGTTCAGGTGACTGCTGCAGTTATCCATAAGTGAGAGGATCCAGGGTCTGGCAACAGGAATGGAGAAGAAGGATGTATTAAGAGAAACAATTATAGAATTTGATGCCTGAGTATGAAGGAAACAGATGAGTTGAAGACAATCTTTTCTCCCCTCTCCTCTGAAGTCATTGTTTACTTCTCTAGCCTGAGTAAAGAATAGGAGACAGGAGGTAACTATTTTTAGCAGTGCTACAACCTGTAAATAATAGTTCAGAAGGCTAGGGAGCAACTTGGAATAGAATTATTAACTCTGAACATACAACAGAACCTTTTCCCCTCTTGTTACTCTGCTCTGGAAAATAAAATACTTTTTATCTTTTGAGGTTTCCTGTATTTTCCCTATTCTTCAACTCAACTGAACTTTCTGAAAACATTTTCCTAGATACTTCCCTTATAATCCCTTGGATAAAAAAAAGCAGAACTGAATTCAGACATGTTTTGTATAGTCAGTCCAAACTATGATTCCCTTTGTTTGCTTCTCTGTAAGCAGGATTTCCACTTCCTAAATCCGGTGTGGTCTCCAGGTTGGAGCACGGAGAGCCATGGATCTCAGATCTGCTAGGCTCCAAAGAGAAAGAAGTCCCAAAAGGCAGCCACACAGGTGGTAGACAAGTACATGCTGATATGCTATCATCCAAGAGAGAGAGAAACTGGGTGGAAAAGGATCACTGGGGCTTTGAGGATGAGAAGGTGACAGGTGTACACTGGGGCTATGAAGAGACCAGAACTCTCCTTGCAATTCTTAGCCAAACTGAATTTTATGAGGCTCTCCAAAACTGTCATCGAAACAGCCAAGTATACGGGTGTGTGGCTGAGAGACTCCAGGAGTATGGTTTCTTCCGAACCCTGGAACAGTGTCGGACAAAGTTCAAAGGTCTTCAGAAGAGCTATAGGAAAGTCAAGAGTGGCCACCCACCTGCGACCTGCCCCTTCTTTGAAGAAATGGAGGCGCTGATGAGAGCTCATGTCATTGCTCTGCCTAGTAATGGCCTGGAAGAGACAGCCTCTCATTCTGGCCAGGTGAGTAGTGATGCAGAGACTAAGGAGCCAGGACAGGAGGCCTGGCAGCATGAGGAAGGAACAGAAACAGCTTTGGCTGAGGCTTCTGACAGTGATGAATTGGACCTGGAGGCCACTCCCCAGGACTCAACTGCACCTGTCCTGTTCCGAAGCCCAAGTGGTAAGAAGTTTTTCTTCTGGGGGGTTTGGGATTAGAATTGAGGAGCAGTGAGGCTGCATATGGAGTCTAGAATATGCCACCTGCCAGTTTGGTCCCTTTTTTTCAATTCTATATATAGTTCATTATCTTTTTGGGGAAAATAATAGTAAGGAAGATAATAGTAAGGAAAATAATAGTAAGTAGTCAGTTGGTTTTTGAAAGAAATACACTCAGAAAATTCAAGAGTGTCTTGAAAAAGAATATCATTCCATTCCTTTATTAAAATATTTTTTCTGATTATAAAATCATTGCAGGCTTATTGAAAAAATGTTGTATTTTATTATCTTTTCTTTGTTTTTTTCCATCACTGATATAAATATAGGTAAGTCATAAATGTTGCTCATGTGCTAAATGCTTTTATTCTCATTATCTTTGTTCTTTTCATCTTTTTCCCACTGCCTTTTCTCTTTCTTCCAATACTTTCCTGTTCTCCTTTACTCAGAGTGAGTGGAGAATAATTGAAGGAAAATAATGTCCAACTGGCTCTCAGGTGAGAGGAAGAGTATTTGAACCCTCTTTCTATCTACCTTGGGCACCTTCAGGGAGCAGAGACTATAATCATCCTAATATCCTTTCCTGAAAGTACTACCCCAAGTGGGGGATGGGCAGCACTAGCATATGTTCAGTCCAGGAGACAGTTTGCTCTTGCTTCCTTCCTCAGTCTGGCTCCTGCCCATCCTATACCCCCTGAATACCATGCATGACTATAAGGTCCTTATTTTATACCCTTCAAGTCTATGCTATTGCTGGGCTTGCTTCATTGAAATTGTGGCAAATGAAGAAAGGCCATACTAGAAATTTGGCAGCAGTATGATTCTGGAAAGAGGCAGTTCGTTAGGGTTTTAAGTCATTCTGTGGGAAAATGAATTCATAAGGAAATAGGACTGGTGGAAATGATGACACATTGTGGATGAAACAACTAATTGAGGGTCTTCGTACCCTAATCGGTGGTGTTCTAGTTTTCAGAATTCCAGAAAAACACTAGAAGGATGGGGAAATAGATTCTATACACTTGCTTTAGTATACATAATAATTGTTTCAGTGATCAGATGGAAAGGTCTTTTTTAAAGTTTGCTGAATTTGCTAAAGGATATACAGAAGCATATAGATCCTGAAAACAAAGTATTTAATTAAAACATGAAGTTTTAATCTAGGAGTGATCTTAGGTGATTTTTATTTTCTTTCGGTGCTAGGATTGAACATGGGGCCTCATGCATGATAAGCATATGCTTTACAACTGAACTATACCTACAGCCTAAGTCATTTTTCTTGATGCAGTAGATAGGACTGAGTCATTGCAGCTCTAAAGATCTGGTTTCAGTAGTGCTGAAATTTCTCTTCTGGTGGCAGGTGTACACTGGGGCTATGAAGAGACCAAGACTTACCTTGCAATTCTTAGTGAGACTCAGTTTTATGAAGCCCTCCGTAACTGTCACCGCAACAGCCAGTTATATGGAGCAGTGGCTGAGAGATTATGGGAATATGGCTTCCTCAGGACTCCAGAGCAGTGTCGGACCAAATTTAAAAGCCTACAAACCAGCTATCGGAAAGTCAAGAATGGCCAAGCACCAGAGACCTGTGCATTTTTTGAGGAGATGGATGCTTTGGTGAGTGCCCAGGTTGCAGTTCCATCTAGTGATGGCCAGGAAGAAGAGATAGTGTCTTGCCCCATCCAGGGAAACAGTGAGGAAGAAGCTGAGAAGCAAGCTGAGCTTGCAGAAGAGGCCATAGAAGAAGATTCTGATGATGATGAAGAGGATACTGAGATACCCCCAGGGGCTGTCATGAACCGTGCTCCAGTCTTATTCCAGAGTCCCAGTGGTAAGATTGTTTTACTTCTTATGACAAAACATAAAAGAGAAGTAATGGGATTTAGAGAAAAAACCATCATATTGAGAACTGGCCTCTCTACCCAGCTTTCATGGATTCTTCTTTACCTTTATCTCTTCCCCCCTTGTTTCCTGTTAGTTTAGTGAGCTGAGGTTAACTTATTCATGTGATTTGTCTTTTCACGTTCTGAGATAGTGGTAAATTTGCAGTCATTTATGTGTGTGCTACTCGGATTTCATCCTGTTTACCTGTTAGGGAATTGGATAACTTTTTCATGTCATGTACCCATAATAGGATGAATTAAAAGTTGGCTCTCATGCATGTTTTTCTTCTAGTTTCAGCAAGTATATTAGCTGTAAGTTTGTGTTCTTCACATGTGAAAACTTGACAACCCTTTTCTTTAGATAACTTTTGTAGAAATCAGAGATTTCTGTGGAAACTGAATGAATCTTAGCGACTGTATAAGAAAAAAAATATGGCTTCCTTCCAGGTGGGAAGAAGAGTTGTGATTTTTGGAGTTATACCTATATATGTATGTGAATCTGGGCTGTGTTGTTTATTAACTGATTGACTTTAGAGCAAGTTACTTAAGCCCCAGTGTTGCTTAGACCTTGGGCTTGGGTAGCTCCATGGTAGAACATTTGGCTAATGGTGTAAAGTCCTGGGTTCAGTCTCCAGCACTGCATAACAAAAACAAAAACACTATCAGGGTTGATATAAATGAAGCACCTGTCACAATTCAAGAAATTATTATTATTATTATTCGGCTCAGGGGCACTCTACCACTGAGCCACATCTCCCCCTATTTTATATTTGATTTAGAGACAGGGTTTCACTGAGTTACTTAGAGCCTTGCTTTTGCTGATGCTGGCTTTGAACTCATGATCCTCCTGCCTCAGCTTCCCGAGTTGCTGGGATTATAGGCATGTGCCATGACTACTTCCACAGTCTTTTTGGGGGGTACTGGGGATTGAACTCAGGGACACTCTACCAATGAGCCACATCCGCAGCTCTATTTTTGTATTTTATTTAGAGACAGGGTCTCACTGAGTTGCTTAGCACCTTGCTTTTGATGAGGCTGGCTTTGAACTCAAGATCTTCCTGTCTCAACCTCCCAAGCCACTGGGATTACAGGTTTCATAGTCTTTTCAACATTCTTTAAGGATGTCCCATGAACCTCAATTCCATGGGATATTTATTAGTGTATTCTTCTAAAAAAATGACTTTTAGATTTGAAAAAATACTAAGTAGACCTATTAGAGGCTCACAATACACTCACATATTTGAAATTCTGAGATTTTTGGCTAATCTAGTGAATTTCTATTTCATGGAATATCTCATAAGACTAGACTCATGGGTAGGTACTACATTAAGTGATACATACAGACTGACATTCAGCATTCTTTTACTCTTAGATTTAGTCTTGGGAATTTGGGACCCAAAGTTTACATAAAACATCTGAATAAGTATAAATTTTCAGAGCCTAGGCCCAAAGAAGCCTGGCATGTGGTACTTAGAATAGTAAAATGTTGCTGTAGCAGAATGCTTGGGTATTAGGGTAGATGTTTTTGGAAATTTATTTATTTATCTACCTATCTATTTTTCTATTTATTTATTTAAGCAAAGAAAATGTTTTAGACATATCCTAGTAAAGTTTTTCTCTCAGAAGTCCTTTTTTAAAATATTTTTTTAGTTATATATGGTCACAATGTATTTTTATGTGGAATTGAGGATCGAACCCAGTACCTCATGCAAGCCAGGCAAGTGCTCTACAGTTGTGCTACACCTCCAGCCCTTTTCTTTGAAAGATACTAAATATTTTTCTACTGTATTTATTTATACCATATATTGGAATTTGAAGGGGAGGGGATTTATGAGAATTCTTTCTGAATACAGAAGTTTCCCAAAAAGTTTTCTTGGACATTTTCTTCTAATCCTTTTAGTTACTAGCAAAGAACACGAACAAGAATACGATAATAAATCTGAGATGTAGCAAAAATATAGCATTAGAAAGTATCTTTCCTGTATATACATAGTGATAGTCTTCTCTAAAACTTTCTTCTACTGAGAGGACTTTCTAAAGAACCTGGCTACTCAAGAAGTGTTAAAGAATATATTAGCCAACTCTTATGTAGATTATGCAGCTGAGAAACATGTGATAGTTTACTAAGTAAAGAAGTAAAACTTTGGGATTTTAATACTATTAGTAATTTGGGATCAAGAGTTCCCTAATTTTTTTTATATTTCATCATCTAGGATAATATTAGTTTTTCCCAGGTTTGCTTCCCCTGGCACATATAATTAAAGAAATGGATAACTTTTTAAATTCTGTTCTTACACCAGGTTTTGAAGCTGGATTTGAGAATGAAGAGAATTCAAAACGGGATATTTCTGAGGAAGTACAACTGCATAGGACATTACTTGCAAGGTCTGAAAGGAGAATTCCCCGTTATCTTAAACAAGGTAAAGACAATGAGAATGAATGTAGATCAGGAAGACCGTGGGAAAAGACCCTAGAGGAGAAGAGAGGAAAACTGACACTCTCAGAGAAGAGTTTAGGTAAAATCATAAGTCATCAAAGACCTTGCTTGGGAGAGAAACCCTTTAAATATCTCAGATATGGTAAAAGCTTTGGCCCAAACTCCCATCTCACACATCAGATTTCCCCCCAGGTAGAAAATCCATATAAATGTGCTGATTGTGGGAAAAGCTTCAGTCGGAGTGCCCGCCTCATTAGACACCAGAGAATCCACACTGGAGAGAAACCTTATAAGTGTCTTGACTGTGGGAAAAGTTTCCGTGACAGTTCAAATTTCATCACCCATAGAAGAATCCACACAGGAGAGAAACCTTATCAATGTGGTGAGTGTGGAAAACGCTTCAATCAGAGCTCAAGCCTTATTATTCACCAGCGAACTCACACAGGAGAAAAGCCCTATCAATGTGAAGAGTGTGGAAAAAGCTTCAATAACAGTTCTCATTTCAGTGCACATCGGAGGATACACACAGGAGAGAGACCCCATGTGTGTCCTGACTGTGGAAAGAGTTTCAGTAAGAGTTCTGACTTACGTGCACATCACAGAACCCACACAGGAGAGAAACCCTATGGATGTCATGACTGTGGCAAGTGCTTCAGTAAAAGTTCTGCCCTTAATAAACACCGAGAAATCCATACACGAGAAAAGCTTTTGTCACAGTCAGCACCTTAGTAAGCCTCTAAGGGTAAATAAAGAAAAGAGCCTAAGTACATTTATTGTTTGGGAAGTTCCAATATCAAGATCCATCTCCTATTCTGTGCCCAATTGGCCTAAGAAATAGTCCTTAGGGTTTATATCATTGTTCGTTTCTTAACTTTCTTCTACACCTATAGCCAAATTCCCAATGCAATAATTTTAAGAATAAAATGATTCAGTCCTTCACCTTGCCTGTATCTGAACTGATGAAACCCATCTTTTCCTTTCAGTGCCTATGTTGTTCCCTTAATAGAGATAACATGGTAGTAGATCTTAGGAATTTGATATGCATCTTTTTTTGACTCATCCTGTCATTCAGCTGCATTTCAGTTGGAAAAATCCATCACAGCAGCATTTCAGAGAGAAGTTGTGAGACTACTCATTAATTGGGTCTAGCTCTTCTTTATATAGTAATGAAAATGCTAAAAAGAATCCTGCTTACTTAAGCCTGTGCTTAGAGTGACATATTTGTCAGGCACATTCTTCATTTATCTTGGAGAACTGAATGTCCATCTTGGTTCTGTCCTGCGAATCTTTTTGTCAAAAACCAGGTATTCTGGGGCTGGGGTTGTGGCTCAGTGGTAGAGCATTTGCCTAGTATGTGCGAGGCACTGGGTTCGGTTCTCAGCATCACATATAAATAAATGAATAAAATAAAGGTCTATTAACTACTAATGTTAATATTTAAAAAAAAAAAAGGTATTCTGACTTGGGAAAACAATGCAAACCTTCTATAAGTACTGGGTATTGAACCCAGGGGCACTTAGCTACTGAGCCACATTTCCAGCCCTTTTTATTTTGAGACAGGGTCTCTCTAAGTTGCTTAGAGCCTCACTACATTGCTGAGGCTGGTCTTGAATTTATGATCTGCCTGCCTCAGCCTCCCAAGTTGCTGGGATTACAGGCATATGTCACCATGCCCAGCTGCTGTAATTATTGATAAAGGAAACAGCTGGCTGGCACTGGGGAAGAATGAATAACTTTCAGGAACTAAGTTGCTTTGGGAGACAAAGATCAGAAACCAAACTCAGTTTCTTCAATGCCTTGTAGGGTTAGAATAGAATAACAATACACTCATAGCATCCAGTTTGACTTTTTTCTGTCCCATCATGTGAATTTCATCTGTCCCTTGTAGTCTAGAAGCCCAAAGAACAAGCCATCTGAATGTGGTGGTAGAAAAGGCAGTTAAAGCTGCCAATAGGGAATCATCCATTTTCCCTATACTCCAAACACTTAGTATAGTGTTATGCACCCTATGGGTGCTCACTACAAACCTGGAACAAATAGAAGGTACTGCTGTGGTCCCAAATACCACTTTGGGTCATCTATCCTTTACCCTCATGGCAGGGTAGATGGGAACAACTGTGATCAACGGAGCTACCAATCTACCATGCTTACACACATTCAGCTGTATACAATTAAAAGCAACTCTTCAAACAAGTGTCATTACTCATCTTTATAATCCAATAGTATTGCATTAATTGCCCTTAAGTTCATAGTAGTATGAATGAGCCCTGTAAGGCACAAGTTAAACAGACCCTATCTTTATCCTCACAAAGGAAAACAAATAACACTCACATGGACAAATAAGTATATAGTTGCTGCAGTCAAATCTATAAAGCTAGGTAGTAAAACTGCATAAATGTTAAGGTCCAATGTATTAGTGTTTGCTATAAGAAAAATCTGAGGTATTTTCTTCAGGAAGCAAAAAGTATTCAAAAGAGGGGAGGATACTGGGTAAATTAGGGTGGTATGAACAGTGGGAAAATGGTGGAGCAAAGAGCAAAAGACAGAACATAAGGAAGGTTAGATAAAGCTTGGAGCAGCAAAAACTTTAGAGATAGTATGACATGGCTCTGCAACAGGCAGAGTGTTGAGAGCCTCAGCAAACTTCCAGCTGATTGGCTCCTCTTCGGTGATACTCATTGGGCTGTTTCCCCGCCCTTTCAAACCATGGAGCTGCTCATTGGGGGACTCTTTTGGCCCCGCACATGCGACTCAGCAAATCTGCCTCAAGAGCAGGACCTAGGAGTCCAGTTGAGGTGCTCTAGGGAATTCCTGGAGAGCTGTGGTGCTGTGTGGGTGCTAAAAATAAAGTTCGTTCCTGCTTGACAAGTGGCTCATGAATTGTGCCCAGCCAGACTGCAGCACAGAGAATCACCCTGACTGAAACATGGAGCGCCAGAGGTAGACCATAAGGTGCTCACTATGTGCAGCAAACCAAACCAGGTACTCGGCTGTGATTTTTTTTTTGGGGGGGGGGCGGGGTACCAGTTATTGAACCCAGGAGCACTTAGCCACTGAGCCACATTCCTAGCCCTTTTTGTATTTTGAGACAGAGTCTCACTAAGTTCCTTAGGGCCTCACTACGTTGCTGAGGCTGGTCTTGAATTTATGATCCTCCTGCCTCAGCCTCCCAAGTTGCTGGGATTACAGGCATGGGTCGCCATGCCCAACTGCTATAATCATTGACAAGGAAACAGATGGCTGGCACTGGGGGAGAATGAACAACTTTCAGGGACTAAGTTGCTTTGGGAGACAAAGGTCAGAAACCAGTATTTGCTGAAGACACTTTGATGAGCAGATCACAGGAAAGATGACACAGGCCAGATGGCCAAGACCTGGGGTAAATAACTATTTTTTAACATTCATGTTTAATTGGAACCCTTTGAATGGATTGAGATCTGGGAGATCAGTAGGAAGACAGAATATTCTTTAATTCATATCCTATTGTGTTAGAGTTTATAATTAGAGCTCTAGTGTTTAAGAATCCTAGTACAAAGAACAGCCTACATTCATTGCCAATTAAAACATAAAAGAACAAGAAACGCCAGTCTAAAGATGTGCCTCAGAATCTGAGATGGTTTAAGAAGTGTGCTGTAACGTCAAGAAAAGAGATTTTTCTTTAGTATATGTATAATCTCGTGAAAAAAGCATTGGTTTGGGTATCACTGGATACAAATTCTGGTTCCAGATGTCTTATAAGTTAACTGTTCCCTCTCTGTAAAGCAGAACAATGTTTACACCTAATCTGCCTCTCAGGGATACCATGTCAATAAAAATTATGTCCACAGAGTGCCTGTTATGTATGCAAATTATTATGATCAAGTTGTTCATGGTAAGAAAAAATAAATTTTTCCCTGTTTATACCAGAAGTATGTCTGTCTGATTCTTTATGCTCTAGGCAGTGAAAAAAATTTACAATGTAGTAAAAAAGAATTTAGAACAAAAATACTTTCTTTTATATGAATCCATGTCCACAATCCATTAGAACCCATCCTAGGCATAGGGAATGAGTCTTATATGAAAACATCCAGGACCAACCTTCCAATCTCCAAGAGAATGTACAAGAAAAATAGGGCATGAGCATGCTGTCTCACCAGGTGAAGACCTAATTCATATGAAACTACCTCGAAAAATATTAAATGCCACCCAATCTGCCATTCATGAGGATGGGAAGAAGCAAAAAATAATAGACTTCAAACATTGTAAGAGAAACTAATGCCACTATTCAGGGAGCAAGTCGACCTAGGCACCTCTCACTTTTTTAAAATCCATAAAGCCTTTGTAGGACCAGAAGACATGTGCAGAAAGGAAGCAAAAAATAAAGGTACTAATAGTTGTCATTTATTTTTATCAGGTGTTTCCTTAGTGTTGCTACTTCTTTTTCATATTTTCCATATACTGTCATTCTTCCTTTGATTGCTTGTCCTCTATGATTAATGCCATAGAATTTAACATTTATATGTATTCACTGTGTTGTTGCCATTTCTCACTTATTGTAATACAAATTAGAAGCTGAGTCTTGTCAACTTTGTGTAGCCTTATTTTTATGGTGACCAGGTAGGGAAGGGAGAAGGGAAAGGAGATGAAGTAAGAATGTAAAGATGAATCAGTTCTTTCATTATTCAATTCAAAATCTAAAATGAAAACTTTACTCAGTTAGCTATGTTATGACATGGATGTCTCAAAGTCTTTGCATATAAAATGTTATGGAGTATTCTCTGAAACCATGGTGCTAAAAGTAATATATGATTTTTTTTTTACATATGATACATATAAAAATAAACTTATTAACTTGTTTCTACTAGGCCCACTATAGAGTTCTTTCACAAACATAACTTTTGAACCACTGGAAATTAGGTTAAATATTAGAAATAGAAGCCCAACATGTCTTTTTTTTTTTTAAAGAGAGAGTGAGAGAGAATTTTAATATTTATTTTATTTTTTAAAGAGAGAGTGAGAGAGGAGAGAGAGAGAGAATGAGAGAGAATTTTTAATGTTTTTTTATTGTTTAGTTCTCGGCAGACACAACATCCCTGTTGGTATGTGGTGCTGAGGATTGAACCCAGGCCGCATGCATGCCAGGCGAGCGCACTACCGCTTGGGCCACATCCCCAGCCCCCAACGTGTTTTAAAGGTCATAAGGGTCTGGCCAGAAGAGCTCCACTGTGATCAAAATATGACAGGGTAGATCATTTAACACACATATATGTATGTATATTTGCATAGATTCCCAGGGGTATTTGGTTAAACCTATATAACCCAACAGATAAATTAGAGAAATGATTTTAAAGTCTTCCACAAATAGTAAAGTCATCAAATTTTTTAAGTAGAATTTACTTTAAAAATATTTTGTTGATATCTTCCGTAAACATAGAACAGAAGCTAAAGGACATTCATCTCATTCTACACAGTGAGGTATATACTCAATAACTTTATCCTGAGTGTCACCAAGCACCTGAGTATTTCTTTGGCCTCACAAATCTCTGCTTGCCCAAAATTGGCATTTGAGAATTTTTAAAAGACAAGAAAGCAACATTTATGGGGCTGGGGTTGTACCTCAATTGTAGAGTGCTTGCCTAGCATGTGTGAGGCCCTGGATTCGATCCCCAGCACCATATAAAAAAACTAAATAAAATAAAGATATCGTGTCCATCTACAACTAAAATATTAAGAAAAAAGAAAGCAACATTTGAAGAGACAAGGATGAAGTTCTAATAAGCTTAGTGGTCTTGATATAGAACTAGAATAGGCAAAATTAAGGGGCATTCCAGATAAGTACAACTCTTGACCTCTGTGTTCATTTGATGTATTGATAAGACACAAGCTATATATGCTCTTAGCAACAGAGATAGCAGAAGTAGCAGCTATACTGGTGACCAGGTAAATATGGGATGGGATTCAAAGATGAAAGGGGATATATGCACAGGATTATCTACTATTATCAGTAAAAGGTAGGCATATTTTTCAAAATGCCAAATCATTGAAAGAGTCAAGAAAATAAGGCTTTCTGAAGGCCTATTCCAATCTGCATACATATAGTTTTTGTTTGTAACTTTTTTATCTTGATATGATTTCAATTTTACAGGAAGAGTTCCAAAAGGAATTCCTATATATCTAGATGGACCAGTTTTATTTTTCCCATTTGCTTTCATTTTTATATATATGTACATACATACATACATACATACATACATACATACACACACACACACACACACACCTAAATATATTTTTAAAAATCACCTGAGTTAGAATAAGTTTGCCCTTTTCTCCTAAATACTTAATATCAAGTATTTCCTTTTAAAGTATAAGAAGAAAGACATTCTCTTAAACCTCAAGTTTTCAAAGTCAGTAAATATAAAATTGACATAACACTATCTACTCAAATTTCTTCAACCATTCCAATAATTCCCATTATAGTAAATTTTTTCCTTGTCCCATATCATGTTTTATATTTGTCATTTCCACTCCCTCACTTTGTAGTGCTGGGGATGGAACTCAGGGCCATCCTGGAGTGCATGCTAGGCAAGCACTCTACTGCTGAGCCACATGCTCAGCCCTTTACTCTTCTTTAATCTTAACTTACCCTCTGTTTTCCTTTAGCCTCACATTTTTAAAGAATATTAGACTTTTTTTTTTAGAATGACCCTCACTATTTAGGTTTATGTCACTGATGTTTCCTCATGATTAGATTGAGAGTGAGCACTTTGATGATTAATAAAAGGGATATTTTGTCTTTCTCAGTGTGTCAGGAGGCACATGATGTTAAATTTGTTGGTGATGTTGATTTTGTTCTTTGGCTATGATATATTTACCAGAATTCTGTTATTTTCCCCTTTGTAATTAATATGTGGAGAGTAATTTTGAGACAATGTTAAAGATCCTGTCCCTCAAACTTTCACCCATCAGTTTAGCATCCATTAGTTTTCTAACTCCATCCTTTTAAAGTATAATATTAGTTTACTGTAAGGAAAAGTATTCCCTTTCCTCCTACTTATTTTTATTAGTATAAACTCATGGATTCTTACTTTAATGGGTCAAAAACCTATCACTGTCATTTATTTTGATATTCAAATTATCCCAGATTTGGCTAGTAAGAACCTCTTCAGATTTGCTCTTTTGTTCTTTTGTCCTTTGTGCACTTCTTATTTTTTGATGCAACAAGGTATTCTAGGCTAATTTGTACACTTTCTGCCATGACCTTTGTATCAGCCTTTAATTTTATATATTGACCTCATATTCTGTGGGACCCTGATGATGCATTTGTTTAGTTCTACTTCTTGGTAGATTCCTTAGGATTTTCTATGTAAATAATCATGTTATCTGTAATAGAGATATCTTTCCTTTTTCTTTTCTAATCTTCCCTCTTTTTACTTTTTCTTTCCTATTGCACTGGCTAGCTAAGATCTCTACTTCAGATGAAGACCAGTGATTAGAGCATATATCTTTTACTTGCTCACAATCTTTAGAGGAAAACATTCAATACTTCACTATTAAATTTGATGTCCAGGGCTGGGGTTGTGGCTCAGCGGTAAAGCGCTCACCTAGCAAAGTGTGAGTTCCTGGGTTTGATCCTCAGCATCACATAAAAATAAATAAATAAAATAAAAGTATTGTGTCCAACTACAACTAAAAAATAAGTCTTAAAAAATTTGATGTTAAATCTCAAAAATTCTTTTGTCAGCCAATCTATGAATTTTAAATTTTGAAACTTCACACAGGAAAATTTATGCTGTACTCATGCTCCTACACAGAGTTAAGACTAGCATGACTTTTATATTGTGAAAGTGATTTCACAACAAAGTTAATAAATTAAAATCATTTGTCCCACTAGCTTTCATATACATATATATACACACATATATATACATATATATATATGTGTGTGTGTGTGTGTATATATATAAAACAAAATTGTTTATACCATTTTCAATGAAAATATGATGTATATTTTCATATCATTAAATTTTGTTCTACATTTTAGAGGCTGTAAAATATGCACATTTTGAGGATAAATAACATTTTTTAACTATGCAATATCTGAGTGGGTGGGGGTAAAGAATAATATAAAGCTATATAAGGTTACAAACAATCTAAGAACTTCAAAAACCTAAGAGCTTCCCTCTACCCTGTTCCCTAAAAGAAAGACAAACAAAGCTTATTAGAAACCTTTAGTAATTGAAATTAGGGATGTCATCATCCTTTCTTTTCTCATACCAGGGAAAATATACATTCTAACAAGAAAAGCAATTCAAGCATACTTTGGTATCTAATAAATTATCTTACCATTCAGAACTAATCTTAGTTGTTCCTGTCTTCAGCTAAAGAAGCCATGATATGTGAGTTTATATAAGTCTGTGTATGGTCCATTGTGTAGGGGAGGGGTCATAGGAAACTTAAAGAATTCTAGTAACCCCAACATTATCACTACTAAAAATAACTTTTGAACTGAGGAAAATGTTAAGTACTGGGGTGGAAATCCTGGCAGCTTCCACAAAGAAAAAGCTCAAGTGACAGAAACACCTGAAAATAGAAACTGCAGCAGTTTCCTTCTCACTCCTCAGTCAGCTACTGTCTCCTAAATTGGAGCAAAGACTTCAATCCCTCTCAAGTATTGACAAGGACAGTCATGAGAAGGGCAAAGCCAGATTTTAATAGCTAGCTTTGTAACTAAGATACCCAAAGTAAATGAACCTTGACTATTAGGCATTCACACAACTCTATGGTGTCTGGTGTGACCTGGCATTAATAGTCTTGGGGAATAATACTTAAAAGAGTTAAAGTAAATGAGGGGAGTCTAATTAAAGTAAGCACAACATAATACAGAGCTACTGTCAAAAGCTTGAAACTTTAAAGGTATTGGTGATCATGTGTTTCCCCTTTCTCTTTACCTTACACTAGTAATTCCAAAACTTTTCCTAATGAGAAATTGGCATGGAGGTAAGCTATGTAAGACCTCAAGGCCAGCTGAAAGCAGAGTTTTGAGATGACACTTGATTCCCTGCTTCTGCTGGTGTTCCAGCAGTTGGAGTTCCTCTGCTTCTGCTGGTGGGTGGGGGTCTATGTAAGGATGCAGGCCTCTGTAGCCAAAAAATGTTGCATCTAGTAATGATGGGCCATGCTCTCCAGTCTTGCAGCAGACCCCCAGGAGCTCACCACCAATTTCTTCTTGTTTCTGGATTCTTGTCTCATGAATTTGAAGAATGAAATCCACAGACCAGGATGAACAAGTGTAAGGACAGGGTTTACTGAAGAATAGAAACAGGAACAGAACTCTTGCAGTGCAAGAGGGCACCGGATAGCAGGTTTTCTCCATCTGAGTGTGCTTGTCTAGGGGTTTATATAGCACTTGGTTCAGTGTTATTGGTCCAAACTTAAGCAAATCAGGGTTTGCAAAAGTACTAATGCCACTGGTCCAAAATTATGCTAATTTTAAATCCTATTTGGAAAAGTACTAACACCATTGGTTAGTCTAGAATTCCATTCAAGTTTGCCGTGCTTCCATTTTCTCCCCGCTTCTTGGAAAGCAGGAGGATGAGGTCAGTGAATTGCACATGTTCACTAGGGGCAGAGGTCCCTAGGAAGCCCCATGGTGCCCAGCAGAGCAGGTGTGTGCACTATTTGGGGCGAGCTGTGGTGGGATGACAGGTCAGTGTGTCTTGGCTTGCCTATGGCATTGGTCCACCCTGGTTCAGGCCCTCTGCACTTCAGGCCCACGCTGGCATGATAGTCTCTGTGCAGCCATGGCCCACACTTGCTGCCTGCACTCCATCTGACCTGGGCTGCTGCTCTACCACTCCACTCCTCCCCTGCTGCTTCTTGGCAGGGACCAATGACTGGCTGCATGGCTTGGCAGCCAGGGAGCCATGTCACTACTAGTCAGTTTAAGACCTATTTACTGGTCACCTGCCATATGTAAGGTCCTGGTGATAGAGCCCATGAATTTGCTATGCTTTGAAGGAAGTGGGAGACAATTTACTGAATGGGACATAAAAGAAAGATCTTGTTTGCAACATATACAATAATAGTTCATTCACCTTGGGCTGGGGATGTGGCTCAGTGGTAGAGGATTGCCTGGTATGTTTGAAGCCCTGGGTTTGATCCCCAGAACATCAAAAAAACAAAACAAAACTAGTTCATCTTATTATAGCTCAAAAGTGTAATACTTTGGGCTTCAGATTTTTCCACTTCTTTCTCAATTCAGATCTAGTGCTGTCAGAAGCAAAGATGTAGCTGATGGATTCATAAGACAGATCCCATACCTGAGACTTGGTTAAATTAAATGTTTCAGCAGCCAGTTGGTACTCTTGAGAAAGGTATGTCGCAAAAACACCCTTATCATCAGTCTGTCAATATAAATAAGAATGTTTCAAAATAAGTAAGGAAAATACTTTTTTAAAAATAACTCTCTTCTTTATATTTTCCTATTTACCAAGCTTCTTTAAACAGTCTAAATAGGAGCCTATAAATGTATATATGCATATCTGTAACTAAAGAGTCTTATTTATACTAGACTAGTGTTTCAACTTTAGCTGCACATTAAATCACCCTGGGAGCTTTTAAAACATCCATGACTACAACTTACCAAATAATTTCATAGGATGGGTGCTAGGGTTCAGTATTTAAAAAAAAATCCCCTAGATATTGTCCAGGACCTTTTCCTATAGACCCAGACCAGAGTCACCCAGGCCCACTGCAGCCTCTCAAGGACTAACCCCCTCTTAACTCCTTTAGTCAGGCATTCTACTCAGGCATTCCCCTCAGGCACTTAAAGCAGCCTAAAAGAAAAAAAAAAAAGAGAGAGAAAAATACTTCATGTAAAACAACTTACACAGATCACAGAAGGATGAGCAATGCTGTACCAAAATCCAAAGTGATGCTGGTCATAAGATGGAACTGTCTGACTTTTGATGTTTGAGGTCAAACAGAGTTCTAGATGGAAGGGGAAAAAAAAATCTCATTAAAAGCAATAAATAAACTCATACAGTGTTCACCAAGTGGACCCATGAGAAATATTTACAAACCATGCTGGTTTGCAGCAGTTTTATTATTCTTCACAACTGGCCTTTCCTTTTGTGTGATATAAAAATTTATGGGGCTGGGATTGTGGCTCAGCAATAGAGCGCTCGCCTAGCACGGGCGAGACCTGGGACGAACCTCAGCACCACATAAAAATAAAAAATAAAAGGCATTGTGTTGTGTCTATCTACACCTAAAAAAAAATTATAGTTCAACTAATGTAGTTGTGCAGGAAGTATGTGCTACACATATGGCAACAGCTGAACCAGACAAGGAGTTAATACTCTCTTCACAGCCATGTGATTCCCTTTCATTACCAAAATGGAGAGGAAAGAGAAATGTGTTATAAGCCAGTTATGATGAACAAGACAGGAAATTATGACAGTGGAACAGAAGCGTTTTTGAAGGGCTATTGTAGTTCCTCCTGGTCTTATAGAGTGGAGACCAAAACAAAGATAAGGAAATTTTTTTAGCACTGCATGAGAGTTACAGCACTATGAAGAGGCAAAAGTGAGCCACAGACTTTTCCCGTGGCTTCTAAGAAAACTTCTGAACACTCTTACCCAGACCATCCATTCACTGCCTGCTGCTTCTAGGTAAGTTCATCTTAAGAATTACTTGTGCTATTAACAAATTCTTACCTTGAAACACTGTACTTGGCTCTTCAGCCAGAGTAAAACACTTCACTGACTTGACTGCTGGCATCTGCACACTTGGATAAAGAAGCCTCAGTGCCAGAGCAATTAGACAGACAAAAGAAATTAAAGGCATAAAAATAGGAAAAGAAGAACTTAAATTATCACTATTTGCAGATTGCCTGATTCTATACCTAGAAGACCCAAAAGGGTCTACAAAGAAACTACTAGAACTAATAAATGAATTCAGCAAGGTGGCAGGATATAAAATCAACACGCATAAATCAAAGGCATTTCTGTTTATCAGCGACAAAACTTCTGAAACGGAAATGAGGAAAAACACTCCATT